GGGCTAGGGCGGGGCTCCTCCGTCCTCTTTTTTGCTTGCTGAAATATGTTAACCCTAAATCAGCGCCTGCAGCGCTGCACGCTTGCTCGCAGCGCTGCAAGCTATTCCCCTCGGAGAGGTGGAGTACTTGCAGCGCCGCGAGAGAGCTCTCGCAGCGCTGGCAGCGCGACTACACTCGCGCTTCACAGCGCTGCCGCGGCAGTGCTGTGAATCAGTGAGTGTAGCCAAGGCTTAAGTAATCCATCCTCCAAAACCTCTATGAGGTAGGGAAGTAGTATCCCCACTTCAGAGCGGGACAAACTGAGGCACAGAGTGAGTTTTCAGAGGGACTGTACAGCTCCATTGTCCACTGCAGTGCCTTGTCCAAGGTCACACAGGAAGATAACTAGATGCTAAAAATCATTGTTTTGATAAAGACACTGAGTTTATGGTTTACTACAACAATCTGTAGCCCACTAACCCCCTTTTTTTGTCCTGTGACTACAGGGGTGTTAACAAGCCACTTCACCTAGAATGGTCCCCTAGAGTACATGCGAATTACTTATGCTAAATAATCTGTTTGGTCTTGTATTCAGCTGCAACACTCTGGGTAACTTTCCCAGACCTGACGAAGAGCTCTGTGCAGCTCAAGAGCTGGTCTCTCTCGCCAACAGAAGTTGGTCCAATAAAAGATATTTCCTCCCCCACCTTGTCTCATAGGAAGCTTATAGTGGAGCTGGGAATTGAACCCAGGTCTTCCTAGTGTACTGTCCTAACCACAAACCATCCTTCCTCTGCAGCTTACACCCATATGCTTTGCCTGATGAGCTCATACTTTAACACTCTGAACAGATCTTAAAACACCTGGAGGTAATGTGACGTCCTGAAGCAAGATTGTTACTCTCTGAAGTGCTGTTTTAGCTTGGTACAGCCTCAGTCATGTACACAGCTTAATTACAGCAATTACATGTAATCGGATGTGATTTTAAAAAAACACACACACACAAATCCATTAGAGAATGTTCCAGGCGAGGGAAGCAGCAGTTGGAATCCATTTAGCACCATATTAGTCAAATTG